ATGTCTACTCTACTGGTGGCTACACTAACGTCATCTTTGGGAGTGGGACTAGGCTGGTTGTAATGCCAAGTAAGTTTTAGCCCTTTATTCCTGCTCTTTTGGCCAGTGCAAGAGATCCTTTCCTTGTTCATTCCCCCCCCCTCCCCCATTTATATGCAATCTTCAGTGATTATCAAAATTAAAGTGTACATTTCTTTCTTTCTTTCCCATCTATTTCTAATATATACTCAGTTACTCCTATTGTTACTTGTCTATTAGACCTGGATAGTTTCCATAACTGGTTCAGTAACTATGAACCCATTATTGGTCACCTCTGAAAAAAAGAGTTTCATTGATATAAAGAAAATAAACCCACAAAAACAGATTAGTGGATTCAGACAGATTGTTGATGCTTTTCGTTTCCAGCAAACTTTTAATCTCTTTGGGGTAGTGGTCAGAAATGTTGAATTTCTGCTGGAGAAAATTCCACATTAATTCTCATGGAAGCAGAGAGTTGAGAAAGTATCTCAGAAATCCAAGCCAACCCCCAACTCAGTGCAAGATTTGTTAGAGTATCTCTGAAAAGAGACCATCCAGCATTGGTTTGAAAACTTCTAGTGAAGGAGAACCCACCACTTCATATATCAGCTTGTTACTCCCTGCCTTTCTCTCTCAGCCTAGCCTACCCCACAGGGCTTGGGGAAGGTATAGTGGGAGGTGGGAGACTATGTATGCTATCTTGAATTTTGAGACTTTCTGGACTATGGAGGAAAGAGTGAGCAAGTCTGCAATCTGAAGTTTAAGAAAATCCTGGGGCTGTTAGAAACCGTGCAGGGCTATCTGAAGGGAGGGGGTCAAAAAAGTCATGATGGAAGCCACAATCAAGCCATCAAAGCCCCACACTTTTTTATGTGGGTTGCTTTGATAGCATGAATGTGGCCACTAGCTTGACTGTGGGCAATGAACCCCTGAAATTGGATTCTCCAGCATCAAAGTTCAAAAGCATAAATACAATTTTTATCCTGCTTCTTCAAGTCCAACATTTGTATTAGAACAGATTTCAAAGCATGGACTCTAAAAATATCTGAAATGTCCTTGATTTCTGTTTCTACTTCTCCTTTGTTGCTGTGTTAGTTACTATTCTGGGCAGTTTTTGCCAGACACGAAACATGAGTTAACAGAGACAACAATAAGTTAACTATTGGAAGTGGAACAAGGCTAGTTGTAGTCCCTGGTAAACTTTCAATCTTTCCTTCTTTTGATGCTAATGAAATAGTTCAGGATCCCTTTCTGTCTTTGCATCTTTGTACTGCTGAAAATGTGATCTTGCATTATTCTGTCCAGGGTGAATATTGGAGAGTGGCCATGAAATGCATCAGAAGCTTCAGTTGGGTTGGAGATATATTTACTTATTCATTTCTTCATTAGATTTTTGAACCAGGGCTCAGAGGTTTACCAAGGTTTTAACCAGCTTCCAGAAAGCCAGCAGGGTTAGCTTAGAACTTACTATCAGAGTGGGAGGCCTTCAGCTTTCCCTTTGATACTTGACAACCCATCCAACCATCCTCCCCTCCATCAAACCAAATTATAATTGGTAAGAATCAGCATTGCTATTCCAACGCTCTGTGCCAAGCCTAGTGTAGGCAGATATGAGGGGGCATTACTTCTGATACACTACCTCCTTCATCTGAAAGAGTAAGGCACCTACTATTAATACCATGATGTTTGTGGTCCCTGTCCATGTTACCCTTTCTGCTGTTAGTGCCCCATAAGGAATGGGTAGAAGACAGAAAAGTGAAATCTTACTTTGGAGATCCATAATTCAGTGTACTTGTGAAAAGAATGAAGGAAAAGATGTTTGGACTAGATGAGGCATCATAACTAAGGTACTACCTAAAACTTGAGATCATCATCACCAAGTTCTTTCTCAACCTTGACACCCTAGGTCAGTTTTTTTTTCAAATTTAGCAACTTTAAGATGTGTGGACTTCAACTCCCAGAATTCCCCAGCCAGCATGCTGACTGGGGAATTTGGGAAGTTGAAGTCCACACATCTTAAAGTTGCCAAGTTTGAAAAAACACTGCCCTCGATGTTAGTCTGCAATTCCCATAATCTCTCCAAAATGTGAGAGCACCATCACCAAGTTCTTTCTCAACCTTGACACCCCAGATGTTAGTCTGTGATTCCCATAACCTCCTTCAAAATGACCACAGATGGTGGATGATGGGGAACGCAGGCCAACCACATCTCGGCACTGAGAATCGTTGCATGCTATCTGCATACATTGGATCTTTCTAGTATCTGGGAAGTTTTTGACAAGGCTGAAAACACTGTGGGACAGATAGTGGCTGGAAGCAAATATTTGGAAGTGGGACTAGATTAGTCGTGATACCAAGTAAGTTTCACTCCTATGTTTTGTAAGTGTAATAATATAAGAAATTTTCCCTTTTCTGAACTCACCAGCATTCTGCCCCAAAATTGATCTTGCTCCGTCCTGTGCAAATACATTAAGATGAAGGGAATAGCCAAGACAATGTTAGTTTGTAAAACATTGGTTTCTTCAGTGGATCAGCATACTCTTGAGAGCAGGTTAAAGCTTTTCCCTTCCCTTCCCTTCCCTTCCCTTCCCTTCCCTTCCCTTCCCTTCCCTTCCCTTCCCTTCCCTTCCCTTCCCTTCCCTTCCCTTCCCTTCCCTTCCCTTCCCTTCCCTTCCCTTCCCTTCCCTTCCCTTCCCTTCCCTTCCCTTCCCTTCCCTTCCCTTCCCTTCCCTTCCCTTCCCTTCCCTTCCCTTCCCTTCCCTTCCCTTCCCTTCCCTTCCCTTCCCTTCCCTTCCCTTCCCTTCCCTTCCCGTTTTAATTCTGAGCCCAAGAATAAGATGGCTATATGGAATAGCTTGTAACCACTAGCCAACATTTGTAAAAGCCTGTACTTGTTTGTTTGCTGTATTTATATTCCACCCTTTTCCATAAGACTCCAGAACTAATTTTAGGTGTTTTCTATGCATGGTGCTCAGTCAACATCTATCTGTACTATGGATGACCACAAATACGCTGATTACCACTAAGAAGTGTTTATATGGATGCTGTCAACCTGGTAGATATTATGCAGAGATCCATAGAATTCAAGTCACATGGGATTCATTTCAGCCCTTTTGTATTCTTAATGCATCCTTATAAAAATTCAGGAGTGGAGCTGAAAGAGTTCTAGAAGTTTTTGTAGACTTTGGGATCACTGTGCCTCTAGCTATAATGTAGTCTTTGGTAAAGGGACCCTTTTGACGGTGAAACCATGTAAGTATCATCCCTTTTCTTTCTTGGCTAATAATTTTAATGGAAGCAAAACTGATGGCATGCCTAATAACTCAGAGAAAGTAGAGGAGCAGCTCTTATGGGAAACTTTGTGATCCTATGAGCCTGAATGCTACTTAGATTAACACTAAATGGGATCATAAAAGGTTAGGATTGGTCTTATTCTCATATCTGAATTTGCCAGGGCTTAAAAAAGATCGAAATACATTGGCATGTAAAAGACCGAATGTATTTTGTATAATACAGTTTCTTTTCCCCTTGATTGTAAGATGTTGGTATTTTTAGAGCCAATATTATTGGAAACCACCCCCGACCCCAATTTTATGGTCAGTTGACAAAAACAGCCAATTAAAAAAAGTGAAATTTGGATTACAGTTTTGAAAGGTATATGTGTGCGTGCATCTATATGTATACCCCCACAACACACACACACATTAAATTGTACACAGGTGGAACATTTTGACCAAGTTGGCAATGGAGTTACTTGGAAAACCACTTTTCAAATAGATGTGACTATCAGAGGCCTTTGTAATATATCTTGAGAAGGTGGCTGTAGCCATGTTCAGTGAAAATAGTTAAGAAATAATCATCTAGGGTGCTCTTATTTATTTATTTTACCTACATATGTGTCAGCTTAGTCATAAATCGTTCTGCAATGAGATGGGTGTGTCTGTGTGTGTGACAAATTTGAAATATAAGTAAGTAAATAAGTCAGTCAGTCAGTCAGTCTCTGGGCAGCTCTCATAAGGAAAACCAGGGCAGACAAGTCATAAAAGAGTTGGATATTTAGTCATTTAGTTCAACCCCTGCTCAGCGCAGGGTCAACTGAAGTATGTCTGACACATGACTGTGTGACCTCTGTTTGAAGACCTCCGTCAAAGGAGAATTCACCTCTTCATGTGGCAGCCTGTTCCATTGATTGCCCTTGATATAATCAGGCAGTTCCACCTGGCCTCTGCCCAAAAATCAACCAAGGCCAACCCTCCATAGATTCCAGGGTGGAAATTCTTTGCCATTGCCTTCTTTCAGATTTATTTATTTTTAAAAAATTTCCTAATCCTAGTTACACAATTCTGGGATTCCCTGTGGTGTGTCTGACTCAATTACTGCCTTCTGCTGAGAGTAAATTAAATCCATCTAACATTTTTCACATGTATATAATAATATTGAATAATGAAATATCCACAGTGGAAGATTGCATTATAAGATGGATGGAACTGGCAGGAATGATAAAGCTGACTAGTCTGATCAGA